GATCTTTGAAGATATAAATGAAGACAGGATTAACATATCATTCAAACCTTTTCATGCTTTCACTCAGACATTTCGGGATACATGTTGGTACCATTACCAAGCAGGATAATCCATAAAAGTCGTGCGTCAATCCTGTCTTTATTGATGGTCCTGTTTTTAAAAAACACGTATGGAAATATGTTTTTCCCCCTTAAACTTTAAATTCAAATAGTGTTCAAGATGTATATTTAACTTAATTTTGATCCGTCCAAAGAATACGCACGTTAAATCAAAACCAGTGACCTATAAGGAATTAAAAACGCTTTAACCACAAGGTTACCAAACCGCCCCTCTTTAATTAGAAGGTGAGGTGATATGGGGGTTTAACGTCGCGTTCATGATTATTGCGCTTATACAGCGACGTGCGTGTGTGTGTGTGTGTGTGTGTGTGTGTGTGTGTGTGTGTGTGTGTGTGTGTGTGTGTGTCTGTGTCTGCTTGTACTAGCCCGGACTGATACCGATTTATAGTGCTAGTCCACTGAGATACCATGCCGCAGTTTAACATGAATACCCCACACAGTATAGTGACTCCGAACCGACCAGTCCTTGTTTGAGCCCCTGAATGGCGTCAGACAGGCTAACAACCAGTACCATCTTTTAACGTCTTTTGGTATGCAGCGGTCGGGGATCTAACCCCGGATCTTTCGCTCTGCGGGCGGACACTCTACCGCTAGACCACGGAGGCGGTCCTTAAATTATGATTAGCTGGTGAGCCACAAGGGCCAGTATTAATACTCGTCCTTCCTTATTTCAACACTGATTTCATCTGTAAAGATCGTCAATAAAACGCACAAAAGAGGCAGACGCTTCAATAGTACTGTGTTAATAATCACACCTTGGGCTCGCATAATTTAAATATTCACATTCTGCTTTTGCCTGAATGTGGTAGAACTCCCTGTATCACATGATCAGGCATTACTGTATAAAACATTCAGTGGTAGCTACTGAGGCCATTTAACTACTTCAATGAAGCTCAACAAACTCTCAAGTGTGCCACCTATCGTTCCCACCCAATTAAGCCATTTGTTCGGCGTGCCTGTCAATGCTCAGGCCACAACCTAATGACATACAATATGCTAAAGCATTCGATTATAAAATCTTCATACCCCACGGCATCAATGAAGTGGAATAAGGAATCCTCTTTCACCAACTTCCCATGCAAATCTGATTTACTGAGGAACCCATGACGGTTTCCAATCACGTTCAAGAATACCAATAGCAGTAACTGCAAATAAAACGGATGTGTAGCTTTAGTTAGGTTCTTGTAGGATGCGATTCCCCAAGGGAAACCATTTGACTTGTTGAGACAATAAAACAAGTGAATAGTGAGGTTTTAAAGTTGGGCTATTTTTTATACAACCTTCGTCTAATTGCCAGGGTTAAATAGCTTTGTTGTTTGACATTTGTTTTCAGAGCCGTTGCCATTCACTGAAATGAGTATCAGTTAGCCGTTCTTTGCAATCCCTCAATCTCGTTCCTAGAGTGAAGTATTGCCAATAATTAACCCGGTACGGGAGCCTGATGGAGCAATTTGCCATCTCGCTACACAGTGAGAGGCAGCAGAGATTCAGTACAAAGCCTAAGTCGTTGACAAATGGAGACATGGAGTTATTGCCCTTCCTTTTATGCTCATTGCATCTCGTCCGCGTTTAATCAAGTCTTTCTTTACAAAAAGTGACTGAAATCTGTCTGTTGCCACGTGTGTTCCCATTGGGCGAGTGCCGAAGTAATTGAGGGTTGAAACATATCCCGTGGCTGACACAGACTCATTTACTTTGATTGCGATTAATTTAACCATATACATCAGTGCCAGCCTCACAGTCCTGATGAATAGGTAAGTTGCGACATGTGTCAGGTGTCCGCAACCAACAGTGTTCGCCAAAGGAAAATTATCAAGTCAAGCTGAAGTGATAATTTTGACAGCGGTAGAATTAGCTATTGTCTTGAAAGTAGATTACTGATTCAATAGTGAGTGAGTTGGGGTTAACACCGCTTTTAACAGTAGTCCAGTTATATCGCGGTGTGTCAGCTTGATGTGGGAGGAAAGCCCGAAGTGATGCAGGTCTAAGACGTTTACCACTTCGGTGAAACCCTCGAGCACGGGTATGGTGCTGACAAACCTAGAAACATATTTTGGGCGAACCGGGATTCGAACCCAGAATCATGGGTCTCTGGCGTCCAAGGGACGCAACTCTGCACAGCGAATCGCGGCGCCTTAGACGACTGGGCCACCCGTTCCACCTACTGATTCAATAACGATATTTTAATATGTGTGTGTAAGATATGAACTGAACATTATATAATCCAAAAGAAGACAAGAAAATGTGTTAATAAAAAAAATACCTTCAGTTTGATAATGACCTTAAAATGTAGATCAAATAGAAATGAAAAGGCTTACAGGTAAAGAAGGCAATGCTATGACATTTACACATTCAGATCCAGAACTCTCCGTGGAATCGAAGAACAAAATTATTATCTGTGCACGTCACATCAAATCTATATGCATTGTCTTGTGAATAAAATTCTGTATCCAAATCACCAGGAATAGTATTTGGTTTCATAAACTTCAAAATAACCATAATGTCTTCGTTTCTTTCATCCAAAACAAGACCGTTTATCACTAGGACAAATGCTCTGAGAGTATGTCATCCAAACACGACAGTCGTGATTTGTTTCTACTCATCCAAAACCATTAACCTCCTCGCAGCTGCCATCCCGAGAGAGAAAGGCCAACATGGTGTTTGTTAGTGACTATATACCGGCCTCATCGGAATAAAAACTAATATCCCATTCACCTGCTATTGACAACGTTCAGAACAATAATTCCAAAGTAATAACCTACCCAAGCTTCTAATAGGCAAGTATATGGTCCAAGGATCACATCTCGCTGACGTAAGTGAATGAATGTCATCCAATCTCGATGGCGTGGACATTGTTCATAGTGTCAGTCACTATTTATTCTGCTCTGTCATACTTAGCTTGAGTATTGACGACTGTCGCATTTAACAACAAACCAAGAAAATAATAAATAAAACAGTCTGTGATGGTCTAATATTATACCTATTCCGTAACAGCGAACAGGAAGTCGACTTCTCCCATGATTTTTGAAGATGTAGAGAAGAAAATTAAGAAAAATATATATCACCATTTGTAATACTTACACCTTCAAGGGGACCTGATGAGGCGGACTCAAATGGCGGACTAGAATTTGTCTACCACGGTTACACAACGAAAGTTGCAATGGGAATACAAATGATGAACGTCCTTGGCGAATGTTCTGGTGATGAGTGATGGTCAAGTCGAACGTTTCCTTAAGCTCATTTGTTACAAAAAATACATCAAGATGTGCATTGTCTTGTATTTCTATGCAGAGTTTTTGAGTTTTATTTAGTTTTATAGTCGAGGAAAGTGTCCATATTCATACACAACGAATTTATTGGAAATATTGTAATTTCTGTTTCGGTGGGTCAAGAGATTCTGCAAACATTTTTTCTTCTCTGAATACTGATTGCAAAGCGAACAGCGAGCGAACACTATCGAACATACACAATTCATTCAACAATTTATAAATAGATCTAATAGTCATCTGCCGGATACCCATGTTTGAAGGTGATTAAAATGAAACTACAGGACATGGTTACTTAATGGTGGTGTATTTGATACCGGTATCACAGATGTGTTTGAACGTTCAAATTGCAGAGTTTCAGTGACTGTTTCGACCGTGTAACGGTTGCGATAACGGTCCTAATATTTTGGCCTAATCCAGCTATCAAGTGTTTATTTTCTTTTGCTCGGCAGTTCATTTCGGGATTATTTAAAGCGTGCGACCGTCCTTAAAGTACTGTTCACTGAACAAATCAAAACCTTTATAACCGTAATCGCCGAAGAGTGTAGTTTATTATCTCAACATATCTGATTTCCTCACTTGTCACTTACAGCATTACACCATTGGCTTCCTTTGGCGTTGACGTTTCCTTGAGATATACTCGTTTGCCAGTACCAGCTTTGTAAAGAACTTTCCCGATGTTGTATTGTAATCACTCCACATATCATATGGTTGTAGTTTCGTTCCCGTCTTTTAAAAAATATCTCATAATAATTGCTCGAAACCCTTACCCCTCTCCTTGATAGCTGACATGAAAGCCAATAGATGACAATAATTATATCCAGTTAAAAATACAAGAAAACCGATTGGGTGCATTTCGCGACATCGCTGTTATGAAATATTCGATCTGAACATGAACCTAACGACACAGTCTCTAAAGTAAGACGAGTTCTATGGATGAACAACTTCTTTATTACAATTAGTGTGACGTTTCGGTGTAGATCCTAACACCTTTATATAGTAAGTGACGATAAAGGTGTTAGGATCTACCCCAAAACGTCGCACTTATTGTAATAAAGAAGTTGTTCATCCATAGAACTCGTCTTACTTCATCATACCATCTTCTAAATGCCACTGAAAGAAGTGACACAGTCTTTAGTTACAGTTTTCGTTTGTTATGTCCTACAGTGGGAGGAATGCGTAGCAGGCTACCAACAGTATTGTTTCTACTCTTACACTTTTTCAAATTCAACCACTACAACTCCTACTCTTGCTGTTGTGTCTGTAGCTCATGTGATTACTATTGTACTTGCCTCTACTATTACTTGTAGAACTCAGACTTTTGCTTCTATTTGTGCTCCTACAGCTGCTTGTATTATTTTAAGTACTTCTACTATTACTCGTCCTCCAACTACTACTACTACTACTACTACTACTAATGCAACTATTACTACTAATACTACTACAATTATTACTACTACAATTAATACTACTACCGCTACTTCTACTACCACTACTGTTTGCTACTACTTACACTTATACTACTTCGTGTTTATTTCACTAAACAATAGTTAAATGTCAAGACATGCATCTAAGTACATGTACGCTGCTTAACTCGTGTCTTTGTTTGTTTCAGCACTGAGGATGATGAGGAGACACATGAATTATCAAAGAGATCTCTGGACAGTCTCGGCAGTGGCTTCATCAAGCGACCCCTAGACCTTGTGGGAAGTGGTTTCATCAAGAGAGTGTGGAACACAGACGTTGGGAAACGCCCCATAGATCAAATAGGAGCTGGCCTCATCAAGAGAGCCATGGAACAAGAAGAGGAGGAGAAACGAGACCTGGACTATCTTGGCCTTGGGCTCCTCAAGCGTGAGGACGACTATGAAGAGGAAAAGAGAAACTTGGATCGTGTTGGAATGGGTCTGATCAAGCGACCAATTGATACATTAGGAAGTGGTTTCATCAAGAAGAGGCCCCTAGATTACTTGGGGTCGGGTCTTATCAGGAAGAGGTTCTTTGATCCTTTCGCGGAGAGCCTGAAGAAAAGGCCCATCGATCGGATTGGGAGTGGACTTATTAAGAAGCGGGCTATTGATGAACTTGGCATGGGGCTCTTGAAGCGGCCAATTGATTCTATTGGTTCTGGGTTCATTAAAAAGAGACCCATTGATTCAATTGGCTCTGGGTTTATCAAGAAACGTCCTCTCGACAGGATAGGGTCTGGTTTTATTAGAAAACGACCAATCGACTCCATTGGTTCGGGATTCATCAAGAAACGTCCTATTGATTCCATTGGTTCAGGATTCATCAAGAAGCGCCCTATCGATTCCATTGGTTCAGGATTCATCAGGAAACGCCCTATCGACTCCATTGGTTCAGGATTCATCAAGAAACGTCCTATTGATTCCATTGGTTCAGGATTCATCAGGAAACGCCCTATTGATTCCATTGGTTCAGGATTCATCAAGAAACGCCCTATCGATTCCATTGGTTCAGGATTCATCAGGAAACGCCCTATTGATTCCATTGGTTCAGGATTCATCAAGAAACGCCCTATCGATTCCATTGGTTCAGGATTCATCAGGAAACGCCCTATCGATTCCATTGGTTCAGGATTCATCAAGAAACGTCCTATTGATTCCATTGGTTCTGGGTTCATCAAGAAACGCCCTATCGATTCTATTGGTTCTGGGTTCATCAAGAAACGCCCAATCGATTCAATTGGCTCTGGATTCATCAGGAAACGCCCTATCGATTCCATTGGTTCTGGTTTCATCAGAAAACGCCCTATTGATTCCATTGGTTCAGGATTCATCAAGAAACGCCCTATCGATTCTGTTGGTTCAGGATTCATCAGGAAACGCCCTATTGATTCCCTTGGTTCAGGATTCATCAAGAAACGCCCTATCGATTCTATTGGTTCAGGATTCATCAAGAAACGCCCTATAGATTCCATTGGTTCAGGGTTTATCAAGAAACGCCCAATCGATTCTATCGGCTCTGGCTTTATTAGGAAACGCTCTGTTGATGCTGTTGGTTCTGGACAAATCAAAAGCGATGCGTCAAAGTAAACACCACTCATGGAGAGTATATATGAAACAAAAAAACAGTTGTGTCAAAAAACCTAACATGCTTGAAATGGTGGGGAGTAAGACATTTAGTACCATGTTAGAAACAGAAAGTCAAACGGATTTAAATTTTATGAAAATTATGGTACTGCAACTTTACTATAATGTTCCAACTGTTCGGAGATATAATTTATACGTGTAGTAAGGGACACATGTTTAGGAGAATACCAAAACAGATTCGCTCAATATGACAACTTGCTGCTGATTGAATAACAAAGAACATAATCATTGCAAAATTATATCCTAAGCAAAAGAAGCTAAGCAGTTTCTTTTGAAAAGGACCATAATTTTTAACGTTCCTACTTTTCCTTCCTTTATTCATTCTGTTATTCAACGTCGATAGAACATCTTTCTATGAAGTACTTTAGGCCTGAATGGTGCAAATGAAAGCCATGCGAGGCAAGCATGACGTTTCGGACAATTATCCTGACATGATAGATCGCGACGTCGCCTATATCTGTGATAGTGTCAATCTTACCAATGGTATTAGAATAGATTTTCAAAACAGATTTTTTTATGACATCAAAACATACAATCCTTCGTACGAGACAACAAAGGAATTACAAAACTGAACACGTGAATAATAACTGGTATTCCGTTTTCCAGAGAGATTGGCATTTCAAAACGTGAGCTGTGTCAATTTTGTTAGAGGCTCCAATCGTCTTTTGTTATTGAGAGAGTGATTCGTAATGAATCGTCATAATGCCAGCATAATGGTTTCAACGGCAACAAATATATACGTTTTTGTGGCTTATGAAAAATCCTGCAATCAGTGGACTTCAATCAGAATATAGTAAACACTGTAAACATGTACATACAACCAGGTGATAGACAGAAACGTCATCCATATCAAAATCGAAACCCCATGTGTGTTGAGGCGAGGAACCATCAATGTATATTTGAATATAATCTATTGTACAAATGAGTAATCTTGTTGGAAGCAACTGTTGATCTTATTTTTGAATAAATAAATGGACTCTACGCAGGTAGTTTGTTTTAAGCTTATTATTTAATGGCAGAGAACAGGACAGCACCCACACTAGGGATCCGGGTTAGAACTGATTCCCGGCAACCTATGTTGGTCGTAACAGGCTACTTTAGGGATTGTGTGGTCAGGTTGAGGGCGTGTCATCGTACTCCCACCGCGTGGATCGTGACTCACAATATCAATCACCGGATGGAATGGTCCAGGTTCGAATATTTACAAGTCGCCGTCCTATAGCTAGAATATCGCTGATTCGGATTTAAACACACACACGCGCGCGCGCACACGCACACACACCTACACTGCAGTCTTCTGCATTACCCAGATTGTCAGAAGGGCTGTATTCCTGGCAGCAAACCAGGGTACTCTCCCAGTGTCAGTAAACAGATTGGTATGTACAAAACCGATGGTCAAAGCATACGAGATGTGAAAAAGGCACTTTTAGCCAACTGAATATGGTTTAATATTTTACCATAAGCTTTGAAATATTGGTATGACAACTATCGGAAATGTTAGAATGACTTGACAACCAGCCTTTCGTTCTTACACTATTGCAATGATGACACATTCCTGTTACTGAAATGAATGAAGAAGAAATATGCAAAATATATACATACATATATTAAAAAGTTCGTAGCCCAAGATGATTTTTTAAAAAACATTTTCTCCACAGAAAATCAACCTGAGTAATAAAATGGCTGATGTTGAAATACCAAAACACGTTTCTTGACAACTCTTACAATCATTCCTTTGGACACATCGATCCTACTAGTAGCCTTAACTATACGCTGTCCGAAACGTGCAAGAGTATTTCTCAGCCTAATAACACATCTGATAACGACATAATCGCTCTTCTGTTAAGGAAACACTTCAATAACACAATGGATCCTGAACGTGCACAGCGCACTGTACACACACAGGCGAAGTTAAGCACAGCGCACTGTACACACACAGGCGAAGTTAAGCACAGCGCACTGTACACACACAGGCGAAGTTAAGCACAGCGCACTGTACACACACAGGCGAAGTTAAGCACAGCGCACTGTACACACACAGGCGAAGTTAAGCACAGTTGGTCGCGATGAGTAGCCGGACGGATATCTATGTTCAGCAAACTTGACTGCCGTTGTGTCTCCTTGGGCAAGTGACTTTGTTCGAACGATGCCATACAGTGAAATTCAATGGACAGATGAGATGTCAGTGAGACCCTTAACCGTCTCGGTTCTCACAGGGACCTGAGGTTCGTGTGTAAACTTATCCACTGGGCGAGCTAAACATAGTTCTGTGAGCATAATATTCATCATGAAAAAAAACCTCATTACAAATGGATTATTATTATTATTAATATTATTATTATTATTGTTATTGTTTACAGATTAAAATAGAAAATGCAGCAAAGAGGGTTTGGGTGATCCTGGCACAGTCAGGCTGGTTAGGCTCATCATCAGGGCTCTTGCCCCCTCTACACGCACCCCAGACAGCGAATGGGACTTCTCCCAGGAAGCGCTGCCTAGTCAAACCCACCCAGAACTTTTCGGAGAATGTGAAGACTCCCCGACACTGCAGCCTTCTGCATTACCCAGATTGTCAGAACGGCTGTATTCCTGGAAGCAAACCCGGGTACTCTCCCAATGTCAGTCAACAAGTTGGGAGGTACCAAACCTAAGGCACCGAGAACAATGGGGAGTCGAACAACTTGGTACTTGGGATGCAAGCGTTACATTTCGAGTTCCGCATATTAGCCATGTTTTCCTCAATCTTGTCAATCACATTAGTGTAAAAGGGGACAGAAAATTCAATGATACAAATTGCATTGGATTTAGCAAAAAGGACAAGATCAGGTTTAATGGCCTGAATACGTCTGGGGCTCTAAATGGGCCTATTCCAAAGAGTTTTGGATTCATCATTTTCCATGTCGCCCTCAACATATTCCGGGTCGTACCGTGGTCGGAGCTCTGTGTCAAAACCACAAGCATGGTGAAGACGGCAATACAATGATCGAGCCACTCCATCATGTCGTATAAGATACTGTGTTTGTACCAAAGCTGGGCATCCACTGACAATGTGTTGGGCAGCCTCGTTAAATTCATTACAAATTTTACATTTCATATTCACATTGTGATGCAAAATCACACATTTTTGCACACACACTTTTCAGGCCAGACGACTTCATCCAGGATTGCTGATCTTCTTAACACACTGCACATAAACTCGATGCAGTTGTATTATGATTATGATTATGATTATGATTATTATTATTATGTACGGATTAAAATTTACAAAATGCAGCTAAGAGGGTTTGGGTGATCCTGGCACATTCAGGCAACTCGATGCAGTGGTCGTCCAGATAGCCTCTCCTTGAAAAACTGCGTCTGGGCGGATTTGATATGGCACATCACTTGGTTTACACCCATTTCTGTACCGTTCGGCAGTACAGAACCATCAACAAAATCAACACTGACATTGAGATTACGTCCCACAGCCTTGGCTCGTTTACGAAAATGTGAAATGCATTATTATTATTATTATTATTATTATTATTATGATGATGATGATGATGATGATGCTACGAGAGAACCACAGTTTATACTTATACACACTGTCATTCTATTCATTTTGGAACATAACCGATGTATTTTTTGCACTTTAGAAACACATATATTTAACAAACTGTCAATCGTATCGTGGTCGTTTTAAAGAATGAGTGAATGATGTTTTGTGCCCAGGCGGAAACAGAAGTCCATCAATGTCACGGCGACCTGAACGAATCGAGTCTGGACTATTACAAAACCAAGCCCTTCATAGTATAAACAACGTCACAAGCAGCCGTGTGGTCTGGCACACAATCATGGAACCGGCCGATCCGATCCCCAATACGTCAGCTGTAACAAACATGATCCTGGCTGGGCCAAGGGAAGCAACTCTGCACAGCGAATTGTGGTGTCTCCACCACTTGTCCACACCGTTCTTAAAACATAAAAAAACAAATGTGAATCATAAAAAGGTAAAAGTTTTTTGATAAATAGATATTCAATTGTGCTATCTTTGTCTTCAAGAGTGTGGTTGCAGTACACTGACTATTGATATCTGGGCGGGATCTGTGTACATTATCAATATACATACGCAAAATACAATTTCATATGTACCGTATACATGACTGGATACAAAACATGTTGAGATATGGACGTGGTCAATACTTCACGGGTCTGTTTGCATACACAACGTTCTTCCAACCACCGTGAATACATAAACGGCCATTGTCGGTGTTGTCGATATTATAAGGCAAGAACCAACCAAGAGAGTGTTCTGACCAATGAGCGCGTACATTACATCGTCCATATGGTGTCTCGTGCACCACATACCATAATATTGTTGCCATCTGCTACAAGGACTGTATGTTGGCTGCACTGTAACTCAAACTGTATGTTGGCTGCACTGTAACTCGAGGACTGTATGTTGGCTGCCTTGTAACTCAAACTGTATGTTGGCTGCACTGTAACTCGAGGACTGTTTGTTGGCTGCACTGTAACTCAAGGACTGTATGTTGGCTGCACTGTAACTCGAGGACTGTATATTGGCTGCACTGTAACTCAAACTGTATGTTGGCTGCACTGTAACTCGAGGACTGTATATTGGCTGCACTGTAACTCAAACTGTATGTTGGCTGCACTGTAACTCGAGGACTGTATGTTGGCTGCACTGTAACTCAAGGACTGTATGTTGGCTGCACTGTAACTCGAGGACTGTATGTTGGCTGTACTGTAACTCAAGGACTGAATGTTGGCTGCACTGTAACTCAAGGACTGTATGCTGGCTGTACTGTAACTCGAGGACTGTATGTTGGCTGCACTGTAACTCGAGGACTGTATGTTGGCTGCACTGTAACTCAAGGACTATATGTTGGCTGTACTGTAACTCAAGGACTGTATGTTGGCTGCACTGTAACTCGAGGACTGTATGTTGGTTGTACTGTAACTCAAGGACTGTATGCTGGCTGTACTGTAACTCAAGGACTGTATGTTGGTTGCACTGTAACTCGAGGACTGTATGTTGGCTGTACTGTAACTCAAGGACTGAATGTTGGCTGCACTGTAACTCAAGGACTGTATGCTGGCTGTACTGTAACTCAAGGACTGTATGCTGGCTGTACTGTAACTCAAGGACTGTATGTTGGCTGCACTGTAACTCAAGGACTGTATGCTGGCTGCACTGTAACTCAAGGACTGTATGCTGGCTGTACTGTAACTCAAGGACTGTATGCTGGCTGTACTGTAACTCAAGGACTGTATGTTGGTTGTACCATAACTCGAGGTCCGTGTGCTGGCTGTACTGCAACTCGAGGACTGTATGTTGGCTGCACTGTAACTCAAGGACTGTATGTTGGTTGCACTGTAACTCAAGGACTGTATGTTGGTTGCACTGTAACTCGAGGACTGTATGTTGGCTGTACTGTAACTCAAGGACTGAATGTTGGCTGCACTGTAACTCAAGGACTGTATGCTGGCTGTACTGTAACTCAAGGACCGTATGTTGGTTGTACCATAACTCGAGGTCCGTGTGCTGGCTGTACTGTAACTCAAGGACTGTATGTTGGCGTACTGTAACTCAAGGACTGTACGTTGGTTGTACTGTAACTCGAGGACTGTATGTTGGCTGCACTGTAACTCGAGGACTGTATGCTGGCTGTATTGTAACTCAAGTGGTGTTAACGGACGGCCTACATTGATGCTGACCAGGGGACAAGAAGGGATGACAACATCTACTGTCACACCGCATGGCGGTGGCAAGTTTGCACGGAAGATGGGGGAACCTACATATAGTTCGGCCCATGAACGTCTAACGACGAAAAAATGGACGTTTGCCAACTTTATAAAGTATTTAGTGACGAAATAAGCTACTTATCTGGAGAAAAATTATCCATATTTCACCCCAGTGAAATGACACGTTCTACCGAAACAACTTTCCTTCTTCCGAAATGACACACTGGTTTTCATTAATAAAAAT